ATCATATAGAAGGAAAAAGTTACTAACAAGGATAAACTTATGCTGTCTTTTGTATATATTTACCTATGCAGCTACCTTTACTGGTGCTCTTTGTTTCTTTGTGAGAATTAGAGTTACTGTCTAAGGTCTTTTTACCTCATTTGAAGGAGTCTCTTTAGGATTCCTTGTAGGGTAAGTCTGCCTTTGATCTGATCACTTGATTCTATTTCTATTTCTAAAACTATTTCTATCACACCTTACGGGCAGGGAGAACCCATGAGTCCCAGGACCAGCTTCCCACGAGGTACTCAGTTTCATCAACCTGGATGTTGATCTGGCCAGAATTTCTCAACACTCTCGTGAATCCTTTTCACTTTTCACTGCTATAGAGACTTTAATAAGCAAGTGAGTTGCACTGCTTTCTTGGTCCATTTTGTCCAATATCACAATACTACAGCCAGCCAGGGGTCAAGAAACAGTGAGCCAAGGAATAAGTAGGAACTGATACCCATAGATGTGATGTAAGTTAAAAAAACATGCGGATAATTTAATCATAGATCTAGTAAGAAAAGCAGTGAGTTTTTTCTGAAGTCAAGTAGTAAAATTAGAAATCGAGTGATCAGATCAAAGGCAGACCAAAGTCAAGCCAAATCTAAGCAATTAATCAGCTATGACCATCATAACACAAAATCTGTGCATTACCTAACCAGGACTAGTTTTGTTCAATGCTTGCAGCTCTGTAGATGACAGTATCAGGATTGCATAGTATTCGCCTGGTAGAAAGCTCAAAACTGGGCATAATCTAGGACGTGGAAGGGAGAACCAGGATTCCTCCTCTGGGTCCTATCCTTCCCATTGTGTTAAACTGGCATTTCTTAACTTTGAATAATGTATGCAGGGCTTCTCAGGGTGTGAAAGAGGCATGGATATCTTGAAGCTCCAGGTATAATTTTAAAAAGAAGAAAATGTGCTATGTTTTAAACATTTAATTTTGTCAGTGTATCTCAGTTACAATATGTGCATCTTCATTTTGGAGAGAACATTGAAAAATCTGAGTTTCTTGTCTTTGTAAAGTGTGAGACCCATGATCAGTGGGCCTTCTGGTCAACTTCCCTCTTCCCAGCCATACCCTGTGATAGCTCAGAAGGCAGACACCCTATTAAAACGTATGGGTTTTGTAAACTGATTCATGCTTACCACCAAAAATTAAGTACTACAGAAAAGTTAAAGAAGAAAGTAAAAAACAAAAAACCAAGCAAAACAAAACCCACTATCAACTACCCAGAAATAATCATCATTAACTTTTGGCAGACAAGATCTTTGTCATCATCTCTCTTTATATGTATCCTTATGCGTGTATAGATATAATTCTATAAAAATAGGATCTCAGAGGGCTTCCCTGGTGGCGCAGAGGTTAAGAATCCGCCTGCCAATGCAGGGGACACAGGTTCGAGCCCTGGTCCAGGAAGATCCCACACGCCACGGAGCAACTAAGCCCGTGCACCACAACTACTGAGCCTGCGCTCTAGAGCCCATGTGCCACAGCTACTGAAGCCTGTGTGCCTAGAGCCTGTGCTCCACAACAAGAGAAGCCACCATAATGAGAAGCCTGCACACTGCCATGAAGGGCAGCCTCCGCTCACCGCAACTAGAGGAAGCCCATGCGCAGCAACAAAGACCCAATGCAGCCAAAAATAAAATTATTTAATAAAAATAGGATCTCATCATAAATGCTTTTCAAAAATAAAAAGCATTCAATTTTTCTTTACTTGAATTTAACAGGAGAAAAACAAATGAAATTGACAGAATTGCTCAACCTCAGATTAATAAGAATTTCTTCATATCAAGCAATTTTATTTCCTAAAAAATAAGTCTAAAATTTCAGAAGATTCTTTCACTTAAAAAAAAAAACAAGGGACTTCCCTGGTGGGACAGTGGTTAAGAATCCACCTGCCAATGCAGGGGACATGGGTTCGAGCCCTGGTCCAGGAAGATCCCACAGGCGGCGGAGCAACTAAGCCCGTGCACCACAACTACTGTGCTCCAGAGCCCGCGAGCCACAACTAATGAGCCCACGTGCCACAACTACTGAAGCCCATGCGCCTAGAGCCTGTGCTCTGCAACAAATGAAACCACTGCAACGAGAAGCCCGTGCACCACAACGAAGAGTAGCCCCCGCTCACTGCAACTAGAAAAAGCCCGCACACAGCAACAAAGACCCAACACAGCCAAAAATAAATAAATAAATAATAAAATAAATCTATAAAACAAACAAAAAAACCCCCCAAATACCAAAAGACTTCCACTTGAACAGTGTCTATGGACTTCCTGCTCTGAAGATGAGAAACTTGACACTATCCTTACCTCATCCCTTCAAGACCACATTTCTGGTAAGCCTATTTTTACTTTTACCTTATCAAGATTAATAATTTGCTCTCTCTGGTAAACATAATTCTCACAACACTGCTTTTTCTTTAAACCATTGAATGAGTTTAATGACCCACCATTCATTGGCCATGGAACCTCCATTTCTAGTTTCTTTCGGCTTGCTGTATTTTGATGTTGGATGACTCTCAAAGAGCTTGTGAGCACTAAATTTCATGAACTGTTGCTTATTTGAGAAAGTCTGTTTCTTACCTTTATGTTTCAAGTACAATTGATTGGACACAAAATTACACTTTGATTTTCCTGGGAAAAATTTTCTGGTGGATTAAGTCTTCTCTTTTTGTCATTAAATCTTTCAGAACTTTTTGTTTTACCATTTGCTTCTTTTCTTTAGGAATATCAATTATTTTTATATTAGATTTCCCTTGTCTGTATTCCATATCAGTAATCATCACTAATAATTTTCATCTTTTTAAATTTCATACTGTTGTTTTCAGCTGTACATATTTTATTTTGGGTTGCTTTTCTGTGGCCTTTATCTATGAAAAGACTTGGTGACCCACCTGGACTTGCCTTTTAGCACCTTGACCATCAGCATCAAGGACCTGCATAGTTTTTGGCCTTGTTCATTTTCCTTCTTCCTTAGATCAAAGACTCCTTGCTTCACTTCTTAAATGGGTCAATCCATCTCACTGTAACCTCTTCAAGAGCAGGAGGAAATTTAGGTAGTTGTTTTATAATCCTTAATTTTATTCTGAGGAAATGAGAGAAAGATCATGTAGGTCAAGAAGCATAACCATGAGAGATGGTGGTACTATATAAGTTAAAGAGGATAGGTTGGGTAAGGCAGGTTGGATTATCTTTAGGCTATGGAGTTTGGGTTTTATTCTTAGTATACTGGGTGGGTGGGAGGAGAGTGGAGAGTGGTGGTCATTGAAGGACTTTAAATAAGAAAGGACTGTGCACTCATATGTTTTGAAGTTAACTGTAGTTGTAGGATGGAGAATGAATTGGGTAGGATGAAGAGTAGAAGATAAAAGATCAGTTAAGGAACCTTACATCTACTCATTAGAGATAATTGCAGACTAAGTGAGGCATTAAAAATAGGAAGAAGAGGGACTTCCCTGGCAGTCCAGTGGATAAGACTCCCAGTGCAGGGGGCCCGGGTTTGACCCCTGGTCAGGGAACTAGATCCCATATGCTGCAATTAAGAGTTCGCATGCCACAACTAAAGATCTCACACGCTGCAACTAAGACCCAGCGCAACCAGATAAATAAATAAATATTTTTTAAAAAATAGAAAGAAGAAACATATTACTTTTTTTTTAAATGAAGGGAACTGGATGGATTAAATATATTTTTGCATCCATAACAACTTGATATGTAATAGCTAAATGTGGAAAGGATCAAAAATTGTTCATCAATAGGTGAGTTTAAACAATTGTGATATTTCCATACAGTGGAACACTACTCAGCAAAAAAGGAATGAGCTATTAATGCATACAACAATGTAGATGAATTGTAAAATAATTATGATGCATGAAAGAAGTCTGACAAAGAGTTCATACTGTATGATTCTATTTATTTAAAGTTCAAGAAAGTGCAAAATGAGCTATAGTGACAGCAAGCATATCAGTTACTGCTTGGGGATGGGGGTGTGGGGTGATGGGGGGGTGGGCTGGCAGGATTCCAAGGGGGCATTAGGAAACTTTTGGGGGTAATGGATTTGTTTATTATCTTGATTGTGGTGATAGTTTTGGGAGTGTACCTGTGTCAAAACTAATTAAATAATACACCTATTTTATCTTAATTATGGGCAGTTTATTTCATGTCAGTTACACATCAATAAAGCTGTTTAAAAAACTCAAAATATTTTTGAGCTGCATTAGTGGTATTTGGTGAAGGGAATGTGGGAGAGTGAAACAACAAAGATGACGATTAGGTTTCTGAAATGAGCTATTTTCTATGAAGACATTTAAAGCCATGGCATGGGAGACACTACTGAGAGTGAGAATGAAGAAGACCTGGGACTGAGTGTAGAGGAAAGCTGACATTCACAGGCTGGGCAGAGGAGAAGCTGGTATCTTATTTCTTTGTGCAAATGCACCAAAGTTTATTTAACTCTTTTTGATGGAGGACACACTTACTTCTAATGCTTTTAACTTACAAACAATGTTGCAATGAATAACCTTATATATGTGTTGTTTTGGAAGTGTGTGTGTGTGTGTGTGTGTGTGTGTGTATGTGTAATTTGCAGGATAAATTTCTCTAAGTAGAATTTGCTTACGTATATACACTAATATGTTTAAAATAGATAACTAATAAGAACATGCTGTATAAAAAAAATAAAATTCAAATAAATAAATGAAAGAATTTGCTGGATCAAAGGGATGAACAGTTATGATTTTGAATGATAATGCTAAACTCCCCTTCATAGTTGCACGAATTTATATTCCTATGAGCAATAACCATTGCTCATAGGAATGTAAATTAATCAGCAAAATAATAATCAGCATCAAAATAATCAAACCACTATCCATCAAGATACAGGAAAAAAATAAATGCATAGATTTAAGAATATTTGCTTCTCTTGAACTTTAGTAGCAGAAGAACTGTTCTCATGCTCCTGACAACACTTACGCAACAGGACGCTGGGGGACCTGGGGGCCTGGTGCCTGGGCCTTCAAGAACTCCTCGAGTTGTTCCATCTTCTCAGCTCGGGCGCGCTGCTCCCGGTGACTCGGCGCCAGGCTCAGGAGCACGCTCTTCACCCGGCACTGGACAGCTGGCCGCCCGAAGACGGTGATTTCCACCAACTTCCCGGCGTGAACTGCGTCCACCGTCAGCAGGGCCTGGCTCATCCACTCCATTTCCGGAACCACGGCTCGGCCTGGGCCGAAGATCGAGTCGGCCAGCCACGCCTCCAAATAAAACACCAGCAGGTTCCTCAGCTTCTGCACAGGAAACCACCACGGCCGGGAGCGAATCCGTGGCGGCGGAAGTGGAAACCCCAGCAGCCCGTCCCCCAGAGCCTCGGCAGCGCCCGCGTAGTCGGCTGTGCTGGAACCGGCAGCCCGCGGGTCAGGGGCGAGCAGCTCTCGCGGGATTTTCTTTCCCCATAACCTCATTAACACAGAGTATTATCTGGCTTTTGACCTTTGCTAATCTGGTAAGTGAAAAATGGTAGCTCTGGATAATTATAATTTGTATTCTTTCATTATGAGTGAGATTGAACATCTTTTTATGTTTAAAAGGTATTTGTATTTCCTTTTTTGGGGATTGTTGTCCATTCAAAAAAGGGAGTTACTGGTTTTTGGGGTTTTTTTTGCGGTACACGGGCCTGTCACTGTTGTGGCCTCTCCCGTTGCGGAGCACAGGCTCCGGACGCGCAGGCCCAGCGGCCATGGCTCACAGGCCCAGCCGCTCCGCGGCATGTGGGAACTTCCCGGACCGGGGTACGAACCCGTGTTCCCTGCATCGGCAGGCGGACTCTCAACCACTGCGACACCAGGGAAGCCCCAGGTTATGGGTTTTTTTTCTTAGCACTTTATACATGCTATAGGAAAAGTAGCCCTTTGTTTGCAATATAACGATGTAAATGTGTTTTCCCAGTTTGTTATTTATCTTTGGAATTTATTTTCCCAGTTTGTTGTTTGTCTTTTGAATTTGTTTATGGTGGTTTTTTTTTTTTTTTTTTTTTTTTTTGCGGTACGCAGGCCTCTCACTCTTGCGGCCTCTCCCATTGCGGAGCACAGGCTCCGGACGCGCAGGCTCAGTGGCCATGGCTCACGGGCTCAGCTGCTCCGCGGCGTGTGGGATCCTCCCGGACCGGGGCCCGAACCCGTGTTCCCTGCATTGGCAGGCGGACTCTCAACCACTGCGCCACCAGGGAAGCCCTATGGTGGCTTTTGCCTTGCAGAAATGTTTGATTTTTATATTGTCAAATTTATAAATCTTGGGACTTCCCTGGCGGTCCAGTGGTTGACTCCGCGCTTCCACTGCAGGGGGTGCAGGTTTGATTCCTGGTCAGGGAACTAAGATCCCACATGCCATGCGGTGCGGCCAAAAAAAAAAAAAAAAAAAAGAAAAAATTATAAATCTTTTTGTTTATGGCCCTTGAGTTTTGTGTCATAGTTAAGAAGGCTTTTCCCACTCTGAGTTTATTAGAGTTCTCTCATGATTTCTTACAGTATATTTATAGTTTCATTATTTAAACTGAGATCTTTGATCCAATAGGAGATTTTCCTGGTGTAAAGTGGGAAGTACTGATACAACTTTGGTTTTATTTTTAGATGGCTCCCTGTTTTCTCCAAATCATTTATAATATAAATCTGTCTTTTCACTATTGAATTTAAGGTTCCATCTTCATCTTTACTAAGGGAGAGAGAAGGCTTATGTATGGAGGTTGTAGAATATATTTGAATGCTAACGGGAATGATCCAGTAGAGACGGAGAGAACTGAAAATTCAAGAGTAAAATCCCTGAGATAGTGAGAGAACAAGATTCGGAACAGGTTAGTAATAAATAATGAAGGGTGGCATTTTTGAGGGTTTCTTATATGCCAGGCAATGTTTCAAATGCTTTACCATGGATTAAACAATTGAATCCTCTGAATAAGAGTACATTCCTACTTATTATTCTTAATTAGTATAACCACTGTGAGCCCCACCTGCCCATTTATTTATTTATATATACACCTCTCTCCCCACCTCAGTGAACTTCTTCACTGGTACATGTTCCCTTGCCTGGCAAATAAATAAACTTAGGGTTTGCTTTATGGATCACTGTAATGGTCATTGGCTTTCCCTTATAAGTTCACAACAACCTGATGAGGTGGTTCTAAAATTCCCCCTATTTTACTCTCAAGGAATCTGAGGCTCAGAGAGGCTAAACAATTTATCCAAGATCACATTGCTAAGTGGTAGAGCCAGGCCTTGAACCTTTGTAATCTAACTCCATGCTCTTAACAACTCTGTTGAAATGGTAGGAGAGGAGATGATGAACATGTATATGCAGGTGGGTGGGGAATTTCATGGTGGGAAGGGGAGATGACTTCTATTTTCCTATTGAAGTAGAAGGTTATGATGAATATACAGAAACTGACCTGTCCAATTGCTTGATTATCTCCAGCCATGCTCACATGCCTCCATGTGGGCAAAGGAAAAGTCCACCCACTTTGGGGAGGAGGCTCTGGGAAGCCTGTGGCTGGCCTGAAGAAACAGAGAATTGGACAGAGAAGGAGCCTCTAAAGGAGAATCAAATAAGAGAGTAATAGGGCACTGATGACCAAAGACCCATTTCACAGTGTTCTCTGGAGCTGCCCTTGCTCTTGGAATGGATGTGACCCTAACTGTTCAGGGTTCAGGGCAGGGAGAGGAGTCTGATTCTATCTGCCCATGCTTAGTTCCAGTTGGCAGGGGCTGGCAGGTCATTATCCTGATTTTCTCCAAGGAGTCAGTTTCCCCACTGTCAGAGGGCAGTGGTCCTTGGCTGCTCCAAATCACAATCATCCTTTAACTGAACTTGGGTGGCTCTGGTTATGGGTCATTTCATTGCTGAGCTTCATCAACCCACACATCTCGGCTGGGTTTCTAGTGTTTGCTCCCAGAACTGCTAATGCTGTGGACTGTGAGAGCAGCAGGTGGAAAATAATCTCATGAAAGATATGAGAATACAGGTGAACTGGATAGAGGGTTTTAAAAAAAGAAGATGCATTGAGAAAGTAGCAGAAGCGTCAACTTTTTGATAAACGTTCAAAAAATCTGATTGCAGAGTAGATACTGGGTTAGAAGATTGAATGGCTCCTAAGCCACTCCCGTGAAGGGCGAGAGCATGGTTTCCATCTTTCAGCTCATCTTTGAAACTACTGGTTAGCAATCCTGGTGCGAAGTGCTTGATAAATGTTGAGTGGATTAATAAAAAAGGAGGGAATATCTTAGTGTCTTTGCTTGTGCCATTCTCTTTATGTGGAATACTTTCTCTTCTCTACTGTAACTACTTGAATCCTACCCTCTCCTCTATGAAGCCTTCTCTGATTAACTCCTGCTCACAGTTTCTTCTCCCTTCCTAATGTCTGTTGTACAAATGCTATATTTTGTTAAATATTTGTCTATATTTTGCTTCCATGTCTCTCTTTCTCTCATTCTGGCTCTTTCTCATAGTATATAGATACACACATAAACTTTCCAACAATTGTGTACATTTCCTGAAGGCAGAAACTACCTCTTACTTTTTCCCTAATACCCATACTTACTGATATGCTAGGTATAAAGGATTGTCTTTGGAATACTTATGATTTAACTTTCTTTTTTAACACCTTTATTGGAGTATAATTGCTTTACAATGGTGTGTTAGTTTCTGCTGTATAACAAAGTGAATCAGCTATACATAAATATATATCCCCATATCTCTGATTTAACTCTTTGTTGTCTCCAAAGCAACACTGTCAGAAAAAAACGCCGAGGACTTCTTGTCAACCCAGACTGGACACAGAAAGAATTGTAAAGACTTTTCTGCCTAATCTTCTAGCCCTGAAACTGTATGCATCCTTGATCCGTAAGGGATGCGATTAAGCAGTAAAAATTGAAACGTAAATGAAAACATCTTTATCTGGCAGTATCCTGAAACTGCTGAGGTTTGCAGACACGATCTTCATGTGAATGTTAAAGATAAATACTCATTATAAGTCCATGTTCAAGTCCAGTGTTGCTGAGCCACGACTGTAGCAACTCACTGGTTTTTCTTTGAACATACTCTATTGACTTTGTCAACTCAAAGTTTAAAAATCAATGATTTTTTTTCTCTCTGGTGAATATCATAATGATTTTCCTTTATACTAGCCTAAAACTTCTGAGATTTTTTAAAAGTCTAGCAGCAGGTTGTGAATGTTCAAATAGACAAAATTCCAAAGTACATGTTTATTATTGACTTAGCTCAGCTTCCAAGACAAGCAGAAGTTAAATTTCATCAGCTGTCTTTATACAAGCATGAAAGTAGATTCTGTAGAGAGAACAGATAGAATAGCACCAGAAACATTATGGGGTAGATGGAGCAGACTTTCACAAATAGTCCGGACGTTTTCTCTTCCACGCCTGACTGTTACATGTATTTTTATCACTGGTCCAGCCATAGCCTGGAGGTTTACACCACAATTTTGTGGCTCTTCAATGTAGCAGTCTCATTACCAAACTGCATATACGGTTTTACGGGAAAGCATGAAGTTGAAAGAGTACTTGTTCGGCCGTAAAATCATTAAAGAAAATTTATTGAAGTATAGTTGATTTACAATGTTGTGTTAATTTCTGCTGTACAGCAAAGTGATTCAGTTATACATATACTTTTTCTTATTCGTTTCCATTATGGTTTATCACAGGATATTGAGTACAGTTCCCTGTGCTATACAGTGGGACCTTGTTTAGCCATCCTATATATAATAGTTTGCAGCTGCTGATCCCAAACCCCCAATCCTTCCCTCCCCCACTCCCTTCTCCCCGACAACCAAGTCTGTTCTCTATATTTGTGATTGACCATAAAATAATTTGCTACACTCGTGGAAAATCAGTTTTGGACTAAATGATCTTTAATATCTTATTCTGCTCCCAGATTCTACATCAGTTTCTTTTCATCGACCTAAAATGCACTTTCTAACCATTTTCACCTATTCAAGTCTTACTCTATTCAAATAGGACATTTTCTGTGATTTTTCTACCTGAAGTGATCATCCAATCCTTTGAACTCTCTATAGAACTTTACCTGTAACTCTTTTGTAACCCTTCTTGCTGGTATTTTAGATACAGGTGTAGTGTCTTCCTCAGTGAACTAGAAAAGCTTCTTAAAGGCAAGGAGAGTGTCTTGGTCACGTGTATAACTAACCACAGCAGAGTATTGTGCCTTTCAAAAATTTTTGAATGCTCACTAAGTGCTTCTTGAACGTGAATAAGCTCCTTTGGTGTATTAATGTTAAGATGCAAACTCGTTCATTCATTCAATCGTTCATTCATGGGAGAGCTTGCATCTGGGGAAAATGAAGAGTATATAGGGCAGAGAATCTGCGTAAGTGGAAGAAGACTAGTTGGGAGTAGAGTGGAGACATTTGAGTGGGTAAGAGTAAGGCATCCTAATTTTCTTCCTGCCTCCAAGCTAGTGGCCACTGTCTACCCAT